CCAGCCCAGGTTGGGGCACATGCGGGAGGCAACCAATCTATGTGAGATCTCTCTCTCTCTCTCTCTCTCTCTCTCTCTCTCTCTCTCTCTCATCCTTCCCCCACTCTCTTTAATGAAAGAAAAAAAATGTCCTCCAAGAAAAAGAAGAAATGTTGTATCACGACTGCATGAAGAAGCAACAAGGCAACCGATCCATGTTTCTCTCTCACATTGATGTTTCTCACTCTCTCCCTTCCTCTCTCTCTGAAAATCAATGAAAAAAATATCCTCCAGCAAGGATTTAGAAAAAAGTCATTGCCCTGGCCAGTTTGGCTCAGCAGTTAGAGCGTCGGCCCACAGACCAGAGAGTCCTGGGTTCGGTTCCTGCTAAGGGCATGTACCTCGGTTGCAGTTTGGCCCCAGCCCTGGTTGGGGTTGTGTGGGTGGCAACCAGTTGAGGTGTCTCTCTCACATCGATGTTTCTCTCTCTGTCTTTCCCCTCTCTCCCTCCCACTCTATCTGAAGATAAATGCAAAAATGTCCTCGAGTGAGGATTAAAAAAAAAAGTCATCTCTTTAATACATACAGGGCTTCTAGAATATGTTGTGGAAAAAGGGATCCCATCCACGTTATCAAAAAAAAAAAGATCTGTAAAATATCTAAGAATAAACCTACCCTGAATTAGTAGGATTCATATGAGGAAATTTAAAATGAGGAGTTCCAGTCCTCCCCAAATTAATTCATAAAGTTGAAATAATTAATAAAATATCAGGTTGGCAATATCAGCCTCCCTTACAGTTAGGAGTGGCCATGAACCAATAAGATGTGAGTAGAAGTGATGTTTGCAGTGTCTGGGTCATCTCCTGCAGCGGAGAATTCCCGGTGCTCATCAAATCTTGTTTCCTCTTGGGCAAACAGCTAGATACATTTCCCAGCACCCCTTGTAACTAGGTCTGGCCATTGGGACTGGGTTCTAGTCAATGGTATGCAATGGAAAATACATGAGCTACATCCAGGTCAAGTCACCCACATGATCCCCTATATTCTCCCTTCCCCCTAACTCTGGCTGGACAGAGGATCCAGAAGAGAATTCTGAGTGTGCAGCGGGTAGCAGAGCCATAAAAGAAAAGGAACCCGGCTCCCTGAAGGCCCTCTGCCTAAAAGAAACTGACACATTAGATACTGTGTGAGTGAGAGCTGCACACTTTCATCATGTTAAGCCACCGAGACTTGGAAGTTTATTTGTTACAGCAGCTGGCATGACTTACTCTGACTGATGTGTCTTCTTAGTGACAATAGTACATGCCTTTCTTTCCAGGTTTTCTCCTTCTTGCAACAGCTGTAGCAGCTGTTTGGATGCAGGATGGAAACCATATGTGGAGACAGCAGGGACAATCCTCCAGCCCTGGATGACTGCATGTGACAAAACTGGGGCTGGAACAGCTGCAGGAGATGACTTTGGGAGGAGAAAAGTGAGGTTTCATGTAACTTCTTTAGGAGGAAAACTGTAGGGAAAAATAGAAATATATTAAGAAGCTCAAGAATGTTTTCCCATGTGATGAACAACTTAACTCTCCTCCTCTTTTCTTCCCAGGAATTTTCCAAGAAAAGTCTTGACTTTTCCATGAGGCAGATCTTTTCCCCACCATGCACCCCTCTCTCTTGCTAACCCAACCCCAGGGCTGTCCAAATACCAGGTAACGATGTGCTCAAGGGAAATGGGCCTTGCCCCAGAAGGTGAACTCTGATCAGTTTAAACCTTGCTCCTGTTTGCTAGTTATTGGTTTATGAGTTATCATTGTCATTTTGTGGCAATAAAACCCAAAGGAGTTTGGGGGGAAAGGTATATTCTCTCTGATAAAGAGAAACAGAAGAACCATACCCCTTTCATCTGACTTGGGTTACTGTCTTAGGAAGTGATGCCTGGAGCAGTGGCAGTCGTCTTGCAACCATAAAGCAATGAACCTGAGCCCCGGCTGGTGTGGCTCAGTTGGTTGGGCATTGTCCAATGCACTGAAAAGTTTGTCAGTTCACTTTCTGGTCATGGCACATGCCCAGGTTGCAGGCTGGATCTCAGGTAGGGGGCGGGCAGGAGGCAGCCGATCAATGTTTCTCTCTCTCCCTCTCCTTTCCTCTCTCTTTTTAAAAAATCCTCATCCAAGCATATATTTTATTGATTTCAGAGAAAGGGAGGGAGGGAGGGGGTAGAGAGGGAGGGAGGGAAAGGGAGAGGGAAAGAGAGAGAGAGAGAAAGAGAGAGAGAGAGAGAGAGAGAGAGAGAGAGAGAGAGAGACCACAACCTAGGTATGTGCCCTGATTGGGAATCGAAGTCAAAATCTTTTGGTGTATCAGACAATGCTCCAACCAACTGAGCCACCTGCCACCTGGCCAGGGCTATTTCTCTCTTAAATAAAAGTCTGGCAGTGGAGATGGAAAGAGAACCCTGCTCCAGGAAATCATCAAGGTCCCAGGTGAGTGTGCTCATCACTGATCTTTCATCTCATACCCATGATGGTTGCTCTACCATCAGGCAAGAGGAGGAGGAGGGCATGGCCCCTCCCTTTAAGACCATGTCCAGAAACTGCACCTATAATTTCTGCTCACATCCTTTTTTGCCAGAATTCAATCAGATGACCACCCCTAACTGCAATAAAGGTCAGGAAATATAGTTTTTATTCGAGGTGGCAATGTGCTCAGCTCAAAGTCTATTACTCTGAAAGAGAGAATGGATAATGGAAAATAAACACAATCTCTCCCACTGGTTGTGTAGTGGTGTTCAAGAGTGTGACATTTTCAGTTAAATTGCTTGGGTTCAAATCCCGACTCTACCTCCTACTGTGTGACCAGGCTATTTTCCTTTTCTGTTCAAGAACCAAAAAGCCATCCTGGCCAGTGTGGCTCAGTTAGTTGGAGCGTCGTCTCCTGCACTGAAAGGTGGTGAGTTCAATTCCCAGGCACATACCCAGGTTTCAGGTTTGATCCCTGGTAGGGGCACATACTGGAGGCAGTCTATCAATCTCTCTCTTTGTCTCTGTCTCTGTCTCTCTCTCTTTTCCTTCCTTCCCCTAAAAACAAAAATCAATTAAAAAAATTTTAAAGAGTACCATTTCTACCTATTTTTTTTTTAAAAAAAGGACAGAAGAGCCTTTCTACCTCTCTGCTCGGGTCTCGCCTAATTCCAGTGGCAATAAAACTATTTCACCAAGTGGAAAATGGAAGTAACAAGCCCATAGTAGGAGGTTGTGAGAATTAAATGAGCGAATGCATACAAAGTGCTTGGAACAGAGTAAGTGTTCAAAGGCGTTAGTAGTAGTATATGTATTATTTCATAGTCCTAAGTAATTAAGAAGATCTGCCAGGGGAAATTGAGAAATGAAAGAAGCGAAGGGGGAGAGAACAGGACACTGCCTTCCTTGGCTTATTTGTTCTGCAAATGTTGGTTGGGTCCTTGGCCTTCTCTGTTACAGGGCCAATGCTGATGACCAAGACAAAGTTTAGCCCAGTTCCTATCTATCAGGAATTCTTTGGTTACAAGTGACAGAAATTCAACTCAAACTAGCTTGGGATGAAAGAGAAATTTTAATGGCTCATGTATTCAAAATTCTGGCATGATGGTGTGCAGCTATCCTCAAGAGTACTGGAACCAGAAAAATGAATACGATTAGGGCTTTCTCACTCCATCTCTGCTTCTCCCTGGTGTCAATTTTATTCTCTCCTCCAGGGTGGGAAAATGGTCACAGCGAGCTCTGGACCTATTCCTTCACAGCCTCACCACCCAAAAGGAAAAGGTTTCTTGCCCCCAAAACACAGATGGAAAAACTGAGGGGAAGACTCTCATTGGCTCAATCTACATTCTGTACACAGTGGGATATAATGATTGGCCCAGCTTGACTCCCTCAGCCAATCACGGTGAGGAGAGGAGGGAGACTTCAGCGAATGACAACCTCTATTCTAAACAAGAGGGCGGGGTGAGTTTCTGAGCTCCAGTAAACTGTCTTGGCTAACCTTGTCATTCATTTTTTTGCCCCTATTGCTGGAACCTTGGAACAAGGAATTCAAGAGTCAGGTGTCAAGGAGATGACAGGAGAATGGTTGAGAAGTATGATCTCCACAGCCCAGCTAAACATGGGCCCCTGCATACAGCAGGCGCCCAATTCATGCTTACTGAATAATCGGCTGAATTAATCCCTGTTCATAAAGGCTGTCTTGGGACGGCCCCAATTTCATAGACCTCTGAAGCCGATCAGGAGCGAAGAGGGGACGGGGGTCCCGCATACCCGTGTAGTGCATCTCAGGGCGCAGACACCTGCTCGGTGGGGGTGGGGTGGGGAGTGGAACCTTTAAACCAGGGACAAAACCTTGAAGACCCCGCCACCTCCCAGGACCCAGGTGGGGGGCGGGGCTTCCAGACCCCAGCATTTTGGATTGCACCATCTTCCATTTGCTAAAGGGGAAATCCGAGAGAGTCCTTCTGCACCTTCCGCCGGTCGTTTACCACTCCTGGCCACAAAGACAAAATTTTGCTTCTCTAGCAGCCACAAAATTACTCCTTAACGTCTTCCCGCCTCACCGCTCCACGCGGCCACACATTTCAGACTCCCCCCACCACCACCACGCAGTGGCTCTTCCCAGTTTGACGCATTGCAGGGAAGACCGGACCAATCGGCGCCACGCTCTCATTTCCGCCATGGCCCGGGCCCAATAGCGGCGCGGCTCACACAGGGACGCGTCACGCGCAGCCGAGCGTGCCCCTCCGCCAGGGAGGAAAGTGGTGTGGACACAGGGGGCGGGGCGCGCGGCGACGGAAAGTAGTCCCGCCTCGTGCGCGCGCGCGCGCGCGGCCGGCGGCAAAGGGAACGAGAGATTCGCGGGACCGGCGGCGCGGAAAGGGGCGCGGAGGGATCCGCGGGAGTCGCAGTGCGGCGGCACGTGGCCTGGGCGGGGCGGGGCCGGGCGAGGCGGGGCGCGCGCGGCGTCCGTTAAGGGACCGTTGGGGCGGGCGGCGGCGGCGGTGGCGCGCGCTGCGGGCAGTGAGTGGAGGCGCGGACGCGCGGCGGAGCTCGAGCTGCTGCAGCTGCTGCCGCCGCCGGAGAAACCTTGATTTCCGCGCTGCGGACACCCCGGCCTCGCCATGGTGAGTGCGGCTAGGGGGCCGTGGAGGCTGCGGGCTCTGAGGCGCGCACCACGGGGCAGGACCCCGGAGAGGGCGAGTCGACCCAGAATGAGGGCGTCCGGGCCCCGGCGGACGCCTCTGGTCCCCCCTCTGCCTCCCAGGCGAGGGCACTGGAACCCAGAGCGGGACGCTTGGGTCCCTAGAGAGGGATTGGGAACTTCCAGAAGCTACTTTTAACGCGAAATGGGTTGTTTAGACACGCAAATGGGCATCTGAGCCCTCTAAGGGAGCTCTTGAACCCAGGGTGGAACCTCTGGACCCTCAGGGGTGGCGTTTGGACCCCCCAAAGGGCTTTTGAACTCAGGATAGGGCGTTTGAGCCCTGAGATGGGGTGTTTGGACCTCAGGGGGAGGAGAAAAGAAACAGGGGCTGGGAAAGGGGTTATTTGGGCCCTGAGGAAAGCTTTGGGTCCTGAAAGGATGGCGAGGAGGTGGGTCAGAGGAAGGCTGGGCTGCTGGGGAGCACCCCCAGAAGGCGCTGGGCCTGAGCGGGGAGGGGGTGACTTCTGCAGATCAGACCCTGGAGGATGGGGGGGGTCCCCGGAGACCGGCATTACAGAGGATGGAGGAGGAGGGTAAAGCTTAGGGGCAGAAGAGCCCGGGGCGAATGGCCGTGGAGGTTAGAAGATGCTCCGGAAGCCCGCGGGGACTGAAAGGATTGGAGTTGGGGAGGTGATGAAAAGGGGGCGATGGTGAGACTGGTGCTTGCCAGGGATGGGGCAGCAGAGAACCCGATGACTGATTCGGGGGCAGCTAGAAGAGGTTCTGAGGTCACTGGTGGGTTGAGGCTGTTGATCTAGGAAGAGGGGGTTGGCTTGGGGGGGCAGGGAAGAGTATTGTGTTTAGGTCCATGAGAAGGTAGCTTTCCACAGTGAGGAGTGGAGGAGGAGCTGGGCTTGAGGGGGGGGGGTGGAAGGAGACCCTGGGGCAGGGTAGTTGGAGGAGGAAATGAATGACTGACAGCCAAGGTAGGTCGAGATTTGGAGGTAGATGTGGGAAGCTCTCTGGGAAAAGCTGGGACAAAGACTGTTCAGTCTGGGTGGGGAGTGGGCTGCACAGGCGGTAGGGAGTGGCTCCACATCCCCCTTCCCCAGGAAGAACAGGGCTGGGCAGAAGGCACCCCAGCAGTGGGCGCAGGTGGGCGCAGGTGGGCGGAGTTGTTCAGGCCCCTATTGCGTACTGAAGCCGCATAAAATGGGGGTGGGGGTCAAAGTTTAGGATGCATCGAATGAGCCAGCTTTTTAAGCTTTGACCCTCACGCCCTCACGGCCCCTTGCAGACCAGGAGAGCTGTTTTTTTCCAAACAGGAGTGCTGGTTTTCTCATGATCTCCAGCTCCATGCACTGTTCTGCATCTCCTCACTTGTGCCAAATGACAGTGCAGTACAGTGTGGCGTCGGTGCCAGTCGGCCGCCTGTTCCTGTGGCCTCAGAGTGGGGGCTGTGGAGCTTGACCAGAGAGGACCTCCAGAGGGATCCCTTCATCACCCTGAGGGCCACTTGCTCCGTTCAGGGCCCTCACTGAGTAATGCTGTTAATCCACACAGCTGGGCTTTGAGAGAAAACCAGCAGACTGGTTCTTTCCTACTCCCTGCCACCCACAACACCCCCAGCCCCCCAGGCTCGGCCTCGGAACTGTGCGCAGCCCCCCTCCCTGGCAAGGCTGGGGAGAACAGGCAGCCGCTTCTGTGTATCAGATCTCATACTTGCTGACACAGACATGATGGCTTCTCTTACTGCTACCCCACTTTCCTCCAGCAGACCTTGCTGAAGGGGCGCTGAGGTACTAGCAGGTGCCAAGAGCCCTCCCAAATCCCCTCCCAAATCGGACCCAAGCTTTGGCCCCAACTAGTTTCTCTTTCCATTTGTAATCAGCAAGGTACGGGCGGGACGAGCCACTGTTAATTGGCATTGGACGGACTGGACTTTGGCCTGAGAGCTGTGGCTCCTCCTTGGCCGGGTGAGGGGCCCTGGCCTTGGTTTCTGATCTCATCTAACACTGCTCTTCAGCATTGACTGGGGGCTGGGCAAGGCAAAGAAATGATACCCCCTTCCCTCCCCCACTCCACGATTATTTTCTTGTCCAGCCTCTTGCTGGAGCCTAAGATGAGGAATAAGGAAGCGGGAGACCAGCTGGGTTATTTTGGAAGCAGTTTTTGGTAAAAGCTTAAAATCTTCAGTTGTGGAAAGGGAAGAAGCCCTGAGAACAGCTGCCCCCCCTCCTCCCGCAATGATCACTTCTCAGGTGATCAGTTTTCTGGGCAGCAGCCGTGCTTTGTGAACTGTAGCCCTGAGCTAGGATTTGTCCTGCACCCAGCACAGCGAGGGTCTCCTGGGCTGGAGGGAGAGTGCCTGACAGGCCCTCCGGGCAGAGCCACGCCTATTTGCAGCAGCCCTGGAACAGTGGCAGTGCCTCATCTGTGCCTTCCAGCTCATCGGTGCTGTGGAGGGGCAGACACTGGCCTGCAGAGCCACTCTGGAGCATTTCTGCAACCTGCCCCAGCCTCAGCCCCTGACAGCACTTCCCAGAGGTGGAGAGAATTTGCCTTCCTGCAGAGTGGTGCGGTGGGGGTCGAAGGTTCCTGATTGGGCTAGCTTTTCCATCTAGGCCAGAGGAGCGGATGGAAGCAGGTGGCTTCCCCAGTCTCCAGGCTTCCTCTTCCCCCTCCCCCGGCATCACCTGGCCCTGGTAACCAGAGCCTATCCTCTCTTCTCACTTTCCCTGAGCAGCTTCCTCAGGTGGCAGGATCCAGGGGATCAGTACAGGCTTCTTTGCCCACAGGAGCCAGGGGCAAGGGATCTTGGGCCTGGGGCTGTCAAGTGGGCAGTTAAGAGCCCAGCAGCCCAGAATTTTTTAAAGGCAATGCAGAGATATCTCCATTTGGCCTTCAAACCTTCCTTTTAGACTTTGGACTTTTCTAGAATGTGCATGTGTGGTGCTTTTCCTTCTTCCCGCTCCCTTAGCCATCTCTCTGTCCCCTTGATTTTCTCTCCCATTCTGTCTATTTGGGACTTGGCCTTAAGTTTCTTTTCCCTAGGTTAAAATAAAAAAGAACCTTTTATGCCAGTTCTAGTGTGACCATTTCTTAATATTTAAGAAGAGTTGAGGGTTTGGAGGGTAGTTTCTAGCTTCTGTGGAAGCTCTGGACTCCATGTAGCATAATGCAAATACAATAGTTTGCATTGGTTTGGGGGACTCTCAGACCCAAAGCTAGAACCCTGCTATGGACTTGGAGCTGCTTTCCCCTCATTGTGAAAGGAAGTCAAGGGGGGGAGCAGTCAGTCTGGACCCACAGTGGTCTGGGGAGGGTGGTGCCTTCTTGGCACTGTTCACAGAAACCAAGGGAAATGTATCTTTTTGCTGCCTAAATAAAGCTAAGTGTTGGGATCAGCTCCTGACCTGAGTCCTCCCGCAGAGAATCCCTGTACCTGGCTGATCCCCAGCACACCAGTACAAGGAAAGCTAGTCTTGGCCTCTTCCCCCCCCCAACCCCGCATGCAGCAAGAGCTGCCTGCCCCCCACTGGCCAGTCGCCAGAGCAGCCAGAGCCGGAAAGGGTTAAAAATTGCAGCGCAGTTGGGGAAGCTGACTTCAGTCCTACAGCCTCTGCTACCACTGCTGCTGCAGTCCCCTCCCCGACATGTGCCCCTCCTGCTCAGAGCAGAAGGATGCCCTGCGCCATCCCTGTGCGCAGGGAGTGGAGCGGCTGCCTCCAGCTCACCAGGGTCCTTTCAGGCACTTGGAGCAATTCAGAGCCAGCAGTTGGGAGAATTTTGCCAGTTGGGTGCACTGTGCTTGGACTCAGCACCTTCAAATAGCTGACACAGAAACTAACAGCGCCCCAGACACCATCCCTCTACCCTACCCAAGGACTGGCCTGTTTCAGTTTGGAACCTTCTAGAGCTGCTTGATTAAGCCTCTAGGGCAACTGCTCCCTTCGCTCAGCCTCTGGGGCTCCCAGCGGTGGTGTTGACACTGGGACTGGGACCTGTGCTGTGCCGGTGAGGAACAGCACTTCTCCCGCCCACTGGGTCAAGTCCGAAACCTTTGTGTCTGGCAGCTTAATCGGGCCCTGTGTCAGGCCAGCCTGGGTGTCCCACCCACCTGAGTCCCCGGCTTCTTGAATCACCGCACTTGGTCCCAGAGCCTGGCTGTGCCTCAGAACCTGACCGACATGGCCCTCCCTTCCCTTGCCCGGGTGCTCTGCAAACCGTGCGGAGCTGGGCTCACCAGAGGGGGCTGGGCTGAGCTGAGCAACGAGGCGGTGGCTATGAGGCCTCTAGCCTGGGGACTGACTAACTGTCTGCTTCCTGCTTTTCCAGGCTGACCAGCTGACTGAGGAGCAGATCGCAGGTGAGCTTGCCTCCCCCGGCCACCGTCCTGCCTCAGGAAGGCCTGCGTCCCCAGCCAAATCTTCCTCCAGCCAGGAGTGACATCTGACAGATAAACTTGTGTGTGCCCTCCATCAACTAATGCTATGCCTTGTGCTTAGAACATTGCTAACTGGTGTAGAAGACCCCTGAGGCCCCAGTAACACCAGCCCCATGGTCCTGAGACAGGCACTAACCAGACAACAAAAGCCATGTTCCTCTCCTGGCCACGGTCATCCAGGGCCTTTTTTTTTTTATCCTCACCCGAGGACATTTTTCCATTTTTTGTTCAGGTAGAGTGGGAGGGAGAGAGAGGAAGAGAGAGAGAGAAACATCGACATGAAAGGGACACATTGAGTGGCTGCCACCCGCACGACCAACCAGGGCTGGGGACAAACTGCAACCGAGGTACGTGCCCTTAGCGGGAACCGAACCCGGGTCTCTGGACCGCAAGCTGATGCTCTAACTGCTGAGCCAAACCGGCCAGGGCCTTTTTTTTTAAATCCTCACCCGAGGATATTTTTCCATTGATTTTCAGATAGAGTGGGAGGGAGAGAGAGAGAAACATCGATTGATTGCCCTCCCACACAACCCCAACCAGGGCCGGGGATGGAACTTCAACCAAGGCATGTGCCCTTGACTGGAATCAAACCCAAGACTCTTTCGTCTTCGGGCTAACACTCTGACCACTGAGCCAACTGGGCCAGGGCCTTTTAATCAGTGGCTACAGGGTGAACCCAGCTGTCTGTTCGCGCTCCTGCCAGTGAGGCTCAGCAGGTGAGCTCCCTGCCTCTTGGCCCACCTTAGGAGCCACTGAGGAGCTGGCCTGTCCCTCCCACCTCTGCACTTGCCTGCACTCAGCCCTCCCCTTTGCACGTGCTCATGCTCACCAGAATCGCATCCCCAGTTCTCTGCCTGGGCAGCACCTTCTCCTCCCGGTCTCCATTCCTGTGTCACCTTGGAGAGGCCTTCCCTCACTCTCTCAAATCGACAATCCTTTACTCTCTGTCACGTCACTGTTCATTTCCTTCGTAGCCTTTCTTCACTGTCTGACTTTATTTTATGATGCCCTTTCCTGCTGGGCCTCCCGTCGCTAGACATGCGTCCCTGGAGCTGAGGCTTTGTTTTTGTTGGTCCCTACTAGACCTTCAGCGCCTAGAACCTAGTAGGCTCTGCGTACATTTTTGTTGGCTAAATAAATGAAACAAAGAATCCCTCACATGTCACCCAGTAAACCAAAAGAAATCCTTGCATCTAACTTATTATTGTACTGCCCGCCCCCTAAAGGCTAGAAAGGTCACACACGGGAACTATTGTGTGACTGGGTTTCCCAGGTCCCACTCTACCCAGATCGAGCTGCCTGAGGACAGAGACTAGCTCTCAGTTCCTCTCCATGGCCATGGGCCGGCACAGAATGGGCAGGAGCAGAGATTCAGAGGGTGGGCCCTCAGGCCCAGCACCCAGACCACAGCTCTGTCCGATCCAGTGGGCCACATGACAGGCACTGGATACCCAGCTTCAGAGTGGGATAAGGCAGGAGTGGAGTTCTCTAGCCCTGTCCCCAACACAGTCACACTTTCAGCTTCTACACTTTAGCCCCAGGTGGCCATGGAAACCCACAGAGGCAAGCCAGACAACCACCTTGTTTAGTGATCTTGAATTCAGGGAGCACACATGGCCCACTCCCTGCCTCCCCCTCCAAGAAAACAGGGAGGTGTCAGCATCCCAAGGGGACTTACTGTCTCCCCAGGGCCCCGAGGCTCGGGCACAGCTTCTCACTGTGTGTGTAGTTCCCACCGCACCTGCCACCCACACCCCAACTCTGACCTTGAGTAACAAACACCCCACTCCACACCCTGTTCCCATTAGCAAACTGCCCCCTCCTCACCCCAGCCCACATCCTCTGGGAATAGGCTGCTGGGCATCTGCTCTCTGAGGGTTTGGAGGTAGAGCGTGCCAGGTGCCAAAATGGGCCCAGTGGGATGGTAGGCACCACGTGTTCCCCTCCCGCTCCTGACGCGTCCCCAGCTGTGGCCTTCCCACTCAGTGCCACTAGCTCCTCATCCTCCTGGCTTGGCAGCCATCCCCTCTCCTTCCATCCCCCTGCCCCCCACGCACCGTCCGTCAGCTGAGCTCTGCCTCCGCACCCCACATTCCACACTCCACAGCCACTCACTTCCTCCTCTGGCAACCAGTAGCATCGGCCTCAGGGAACAGGGCTGGTGACACCGGTCAGGAGGGGCAGTGCCAACTGAAGGCGTGCTGCAGCCTCCCCTCCCTCCCCAGCCAGATGACCTTGGCTGGCATACTTTAGACTGAGACTTCTCTTGGCTCTCATCCACACCACGACATTGGTCCAGTTCATCATTTGATGGAGAGGCCGAATCCAGGGCCCAAAAAGAAGTGTAGAATCATCTAATGACAGTCAGCCCCTTTTCCCTCTGTCCTCACCGCACTAGGTTGGCACAGGCTGTCGCTTGGTGGAGGTGCTCAGTAAATGCTGACGGAAGATAGGAGAAGGGGGCGGCCCTGAGCACTGGGGCAAGAGGCTTGGACCGGAACTGAGTGTCTAGTTCTGGTACCTTTAGGTGGTACTGCCCCTGGACCTTCCTCCGGGGAGGGAGTCAGCATCCCAATGTCAGGATTTCCCTGTGGCCCTCCACCTCTGACTCCTTTCCCTTCTTCCCCCAGAGTTCAAGGAGGCCTTCTCCCTCTTTGACAAGGATGGAGATGGCACTATCACCACCAAGGAGCTGGGGACGGTGATGAGGTCCCTGGGACAGAACCCCACCGAAGCAGAGCTGCAGGACATGATCAACGAGGTGGACGCGGATGGTGAGCCCCACAGGGTGGATGGGCAGCCCCAGTCCTGGTCACCACCATGACCAGGGAGCCTTCCTCGGGACGATGGAGGTCATCTCCCAGGGCCCAGGCAAAGGGTGTTCTCAACTCCTTTCCGCCTTCTAGGGAACGGGACCATTGACTTCCCAGAGTTCCTGACCATGATGGCCAGAAAGATGAAGGATACCGACAGTGAGGAGGAGATCCGAGAGGCCTTCCGTGTCTTTGACAAGGTAAGCAGTCCTCTTCCAGAGCAGCTCTGGGACTCGGGCCGAGGGACACACAGCACAGCTAGAGCCACTGAGTCACCACTTCCGGGACGCCTGCGTCCCAGTGCCAGCCCCACTGCCAACTCACTGTGCAGCTTCAGGAAGCCCCGTCCGCTGCCCTCTCCCACTGTCCCCCGGGGAAGACCAGGTGACTGCCTCACGCTTAAAGCCTTGACCTTCACCCTCACACCAGGATGGCAACGGCTACATCAGCGCGGCAGAGCTGCGCCACGTAATGACGAACCTGGGTGAGAAGCTGACCGACGAGGAGGTGGATGAGATGATCAGAGAGGCTGACATCGACGGTGACGGCCAGGTCAATTATGAAGGTGAGCTGGCGCTGGGCTCCATCTGGGTCAAGACCCCGGGTCCCTCGTGTCAGGGAAGGGCCCTTGTGGCTCAGCCCCGCTCCGCTGCTGACCTCTTGCTCCCTGCTTCCTTTCCAGAGTTTGTACAGATGATGACTGCAAAGTGAAGGCCCGGGCAGCTGGTGATGCCCGTTCTCTTGATCTCTCTCTTCTCGCGCGCACTCTCTTCAACACTCCCCTGCGTCCAGTTCTAGCAAACACCAATCGATTGACTGAGAATCTGATAAAGCAACAAAAGATTTGTCCCAAGCTGCATGACTGCTCTTTCTCCTTCCTCCCTGAGTCCCCTTCCACGCCCCTCATCTCTTCCTTTGCCCTCCCTCTTCCATTGACCTCTGCCAGGGCCTGATGTATTTATAAGATGAATTCCCCCTTCTTCCTGGGGAGCTCTGCCCCCCTCCTCCTCCAGCCCGGGTGGCTCTCCTCCATTTCGGTTTGTTTCCTTCATTTGTCATCTTATTTTGGGTGCTGGGGTGGCTGCCAGCCCTGTCCTGGGACCTGCTAGGGAAGGGACAAGGCCCTCACGCAGGCAGAAGAGCACGCCTTTGTCATTGCATGCAACCAGCCCTGTGATCCGTGTGCAAATCCCAGCAGCCTTTGGGGTAGGGGTGCCAAGAGAGGCATTCTAGAACGGGTTGTGGTGTTGGCTGGATGTGGCCCCGGGGAGGGTTGAGGGGCAAGGGAGTCTTGGAAGCTGGCATTCTTTTACCACTTGAGGGGCAAACTCATAGAAGGGGAGGGACCAAGTGGACAACCCTCAGACCCCCGCTGGCTGCTGTTCTGAAACCATCTGATTGGCTTCCTGACGCTGGACTGGGTGGGGCTGCTCAATTGGCCACTCTGCAAAATGAACCTGCCCGTGTTTCTAAAGCGATCGATCTCAAGCTGTTCTGTAAATACCTGGTGCTAACATCCCATGCCGCTCCCTCGTGCCACACCCGCCCGCCCGCATTGAGGTCCCCTTGTGGGAACCAATGTGGGAATGGTCACTTAGTAATGTGCTGGTTATACTGTTGTTTTTTTCTTTACGCCCCTGAAAACTTTAGATTTTGTCAAAAACCATGCTGGGCTAGCTGAAGGGTAGGGAGAGGGAAGACGTGCCCCACCATACTCTTGAGAGAAAATACCTGCAATAAACACTCTTGTGGCTAGTGCCCCAGGCCCCAGGGCGGCACCCAGGGTGGCTCTGCCTCCGGTCAGCCGGCCCGCTTCTCCGTGGTGACTTGGCTGGCTCCTCACATCTGCGCTGTCTCTGTGCCTCTCCTGCCTCCCCTCGCCCACCTGCCTGCCCCACACTCCCCCAGCGGAGAGCATGATCCGTGACCTTGCTTCTGACTTTTGCCTCTGGGACAAGTAAGTCAATGTGGGCAGTTCGGTCGTCTGGGTTTGTTTTGTTTTGTTTCTCCCTTTTCTGTTCATTTCATCTGCCCCCCACCCCCAGGTCGATCAAGTGGCTTTTCCTGGGACCTGCCCAGCTTTGAGAATTTCTTCTCATCCACCCTCTGATACCCCGCCTCCGGGTGGAGGGCGGGGAGGGGAGGGATGAAACAGTGGGAGACCCAGCCAAGAGCTGAGGATAAGGGCAGGTAGGCGTGGAGCTGTGGACATTTTTGGAGTGTTGGGTTTTGTTTTGTTTTTTTAAACCGGGCAATATTGTGTTCAGTTCAAGCTGTGAAGAAAAATATATATCAATGTTTTCCAATAAAATACAGTGACTACCTGATTGGCTCTGGCCCTCATGTTGGTTTCGGGGCCTGGGACTCTGCAACCCTGGCCTGGAACAGCCTTCGCTCCATGCTCACCCCGAAGGCTTGGCCTGGTCACTGCAGCCAAGTGGGGACCTAAGAGCCGGAGTTCAGGTTTAAGCTAGATTGCAGTTTGCTGAGGGCCAGTCAGCTTTAAGTGACCACCACAAGCCAGCACAGAGGTGTACGCATGTGCTGGAGACCAGCCCCACCCTTGGGTGGTGGGGACGTGGGACATCAGTCAGAATACCAGACAAGAACTGAGAAGGCATGCCCGGCCGATGTGGCTCGGGTTGAGCATCAGCCCATGCACCAAGAGGGGTCCGGTTTGATTTCCCTGTCAGGGCACATGCCCAGGTTGTGGGCCCGATCCCCAGTCGGGACAGCCAGTCGATGTTCTCTCTCATTGATGTTTCTATCTCTCTTTCCCTCTCCCTTCCTCTCTCTCTCTAAAATCAGTAAATAAAAAAAGAACAAGGAAGGCAGTGTCAGACCCTGGACGATAAGGAATTCCCAACAGGGTACTCTGGGGAAGGGGTAGCATTCGCTGAATGAGTGGATGGCAGCCAGGCAGCCTTAGGGTGCTGTGTGTCCAGAGCCCGTGGAAAGGGCACAGGACTCGGAGATGTGCGACAGAGCCCAGAGCAGCTGCGAACCACAAAGAGCTCCTTACACTCCCCGAGGCGAGGGGGCTAGGAAGAAAGGGCCACGGTCCAGCCATGCTATAGGGGAGGGATGTAACGGACTCCTCGGGGGGCTCTTCCCAAAGCAGATGTACCCTTCCCCCTGCTACAAACCCTGTCCGCTCCCATTGAGGGTGCAGGGAATGAACAGAATAGACACTAACTTCTGAGCTGCTCACACTGGACCACAGGCTGGGCAGGAGTCGAGCAGGGAGTTCAGTGGCATAAAGGACTCCCTCTGTTCTTTGCCTGGCAGCGCCCAACCTCAGGCCGTCCCTGCGGCAGAGATGAGGCCCGGGCTGGACCTTCCCGGTGTGGCCAAGGTGTCAGAGCCCCAGCTCCTTGCCCTCTTTTTTGCCATCTGGTTGTGGTTTGGCACTTGGTACAAGAAGACAGTGTAAATGGGTAAGAGTTCGGGGTCTGAGCCGACCACTGGCTCTAGCACGGAATTGCCTCCGCGGCCTCAGAAGCCTTGTTCCCAGACCTGTGTTCTATCTGTGAAGTGGCACCTACCTCCTGGGGCTGAGCCAAGGGCCCAGGGAGCCCACGGGAACAGGCCTGGGTACGTGAGTTCCCAGTAAGCCTTCTGGACCCTTTCAGGGCTGCTTCCTACTTCACGGGTTCTCTTCGCAGCTCATCAGGGGTCTCAAATCCTCAAGCAACCGTTTGGGCTGGAGGCCAGCAGTCCCCATTCTGCAGCCTACGAAGCAGCCCCAGAGAAGTGAAGAGACTGTACCAAGGTCATTCGAGTCAAAAGTGGCAGAACTGAAATTTGAACCAGGTCTGACCCCAAGGAGTCCATGCTCAGCTGCCTGGTTTTAGAGTAAATGGTCATTTGAAAACGAAGACTTCAGCCCAGCCAGTGTAGCTCAAGAGGTCACCAGTTTGATTCCAGTCAGGGCACATGCCCAGGTTGTGGGCCTGATCCCCAGTGGGGGGCATGCAGGAGAGCGATGTTCTCTCTCATCAATGTTTCTATCTCTCCCTCTTCTATCCTCTCTCTATATAATGAATAAAGGGGAAAAAATTAAAAAGAAAAACTTAAAAAAAAAAAACCAAACTAAGCCCTGGCCAGTTTGCTCAGTGGTTAGAGTGTCAGCTCGCAGACCAGAGAGACTTGGGTTTGGTTCCTGCTAGGAGCACGTACCTTGGTTGCAGTTTGTCCCCAACCCCAACCAGGGCCATATGGGAGCCAGTCAGTGTGTCCAGTTTGTCTTTGTCACATCGACGTTTCTCTCTCTTCCCTCCCTCTCTCCCACTCTATCTGTAGATGAATGCAAAAATGAGGATAAAAGAAAGAAAATAAGACTTCAGGCTAAGGCTGGGGTCACTAGTGCGGTCTGAGCTGGGAGTGCTCTCAGCAGCCAGGAGACCTGTGGAAAAGTCACCTTGGAACTGAGAGAAGATAGGCTTTGGTGACCCACAAAACAAGCCCACCTCAGAGCAGCCACTTCACCTCTCTGGGCCTCAGTTTCCAGTCTGCAAAGTGAGGAATAGTAATGATCTATAAAGGGAGGGCCATAAAAATAGCCACCTCGTGGTTGCAAACTTTCTAGACATCTTGTTTTCTTACCCCGGCCAGACTGAGTCCTAATACAACAATGTGGTGGGCGTGTAGGCGGGAGAGAAGTTAGCGATCTGACAGTGCAGGAATGAAGGCCCCAGTGGGCAAAGCCTCTTGCACCACATTCTTGGAAGTGGCTAAGCTGGGTCTCAGAACCCCAGATCGCGCGGATCCCGAAGACCGCTTAACTGCCTCCCGACGCCCACACGTCTACTGCCTAGCGTTTTCCCCCGAGGGTCCTGTGTTTTGAAAGACTTACTCCCAGACAGGCTACATTATTAAATAATCATGACTTCCTTCTCCCATTCTTTATTAATCGAAGACACACAGACGGCACTTCTAATGGACTGGGAGAAACTGACTCCGGCCCAAAGCAAAGCAATGCAGTAGGAATCATTTCCAACTCAGGCCCACAGATCTGCGGGACTGGCCCAGTGCCTGTCCTCATAATGGGACTAGACACACCGGGAGGTGCCTAACCAGTGCCCAAGCCAGGGAGATCCAGGGCTCCCTCACTTCCCCGAGGGTGGTGGCCGCTGGTCTAGAGCAGAGGTCTGGGGCCACCTCTAAGTGTCATTCCTAATGTAACCAGCAGGTGGGGCAATGACTACAGAAGTAGTACACTGCTGGTGGGAATGCAGACTGGTGCAGCCACTACTGAAAACACTACCGTGTTACCTCAAAAAATTAAAAATTGAACTTCCATTTGACCCAGTGATCCCATTTCTAGGAATATGCCCTAAGAAGCCTGAAACACCAATCAGAAAGAATATATGTACCCCCATGTTTGTAGCAGCACTATTTACAATCGCTAAGATCTGGAAACAGCCCAAGTGTCCATCGGTAGACGAATGGATAAAAAAGCTGTGGTAGCCCTGGCCGGTTTGGCTCAGCGGTTAGAGCGTCAGCCTGCGGTCCAGAGAGACCCGGGTTCGGTTCCCACTAAGGGCATGTACCTTGGTTGCAGTTTGTCCCCGGCCCCAGTTGGGATTGTGCAGGAGGCAGCCACTCGATGTGTCCCTTTCACATTGATGTTTCTCTCTCTCCCTCTCTCCCTCTGTCTCCCTCCCACTCTATCTGAATAAAAATGGAAAAATGTCTTTGGGCGAGGATTAAAAAAAAAAGCTGTGGTACATATACACAATGGAGTACTATGCAGCTGTAAGAAAGAGATCTCTTAATCCTTTGAGACGACATGGAGGGACCTGGAGAGTACTGTCCTAAATGAAACAAGCCGAGCAGAGAAAGACAAATATCACATGATCTCACTTATTTGTGGAATATAATGAACAAAACAAGCTGATGAACAAAATAGACCCAGAGACATAGAAGTAGGGTACAGACTGACAAACCTCAGAAGAGGGGGTCAGGGGGAGGGAAGAGATAAACCACAGAACTTATATGCATGTGTGCATAACCATGGACATAGACAATGCTGGGGGGAGGGGGGCGCGGGATCAGGAGGAGGGTGTCAATGGGGGAAAAATGAGAAACATCTGTAACAAAAATTATAATTAAAAAAAAAAGACCTCTTGAGCTGCAACTGCAGGGGATTGGCCAGGGTCAAGTTCCATCTGTGGGTCAGGCCCGAAGCTAGGAAGACAAATGAGTAAAGAAATGACGTTGAGCCCTGGCCGGTTTGGCTCAGCGGTTAGAGCGTCGACCTGCGGTCCCGAGAGACCCAGGTTCGGTTCCCGCTAGGGGCACGTACCTCGGTTGCAGTTTGTCCCCGGCCCTGGTTGGGTCGTGCGGGTGGCAGCCACTCGATGTGTCCCTTTCACATCGATGTTTCTCTCTCCCCCCCTGCTCTGTCTGAACCAAAAAAATGGGAAAATGTCCTCGGGTGAGGATAAAAAAAAAAAGAAATGACGTTGAAAGTGAACATCTCCGAGGGAGTCATCCACTCCTAGTGTGTCACTTCTTGGCCCTCCAGCCCAGACACAGGCAGGCACCTCATCTGTGTTCCCACAGGTCCTTGCACTGGCTGCTCTTGGTCCATGTCACAGCTTGTGATTTTGTATTTTTGCTGCTCATTATAATACATATTTGTGATTATTAAATGGTCACCCCACTGCATCAGGAGCGAGGGGCCAAGCTGTGTCAGTCGCTGCTGTATCCCCAGCAGGCACGGGGAGCCTCGGGCTCAGAGCCGGCTCCGGGGAATCGATGTGGAATCAGTGAATGAATGAAAGGCTAAAGACGGGGCCTTAGAGGCCAGAGTCAGAGCTGTGACCGCGACAGAAACCCTCCTCTTGGCTCACTTTCTTCCAATCCTCAGGTCTCGGTTCAGCCTTCCCCTCCCAGAAGCCCTCCTTGATGTCCTCCTGGATCCCTCCTCCCCTACCCCAGCCCTGCCCACTTGGCTGTGAACCCCAAGAGGGCAAGCGGGGCTGTCTTTGTCCCTGCCCTGTCCCCAGCACCACAGGGACGAGCCCTGCCCTGGAGCAGCACGCATGCCTGTGCTGGGCAGGCTGCAGTGAGCGCCACCGCGGAGCCCAGGGAGCGGGCCTGCCTGAGGGGCCAGCACGGGTTCGAGGGGGAGCCCGGGGGGGGGCCGGGTGCTTTGACAGCTGGAGAAGGGTTAGCTGTTCCGGGAAGGGTGAGCTCAGCAAGCAGAGAGGTGGAGGCCGAAAGGTCACAGGCTCTTTGGGGAAACCTCAGTTGTCTGCTGTGGCCGAGCAGAGCGAGTGGAAGTTGGCCCTTGGCTTCCAGGCCATGGGAGCCCTTGAATTTGGCAAGCGGGGGGGTGACCGCTCAGACAGGACCTTCCAGACAGAACCCTGGCAGCCAGCAGAAGGCTGCACAGGCAGTGGGTCAGGACCCGGAGGAGATGAGTTCCCACGTCATCCCTGAGGGCCGTGGTGGGCAGCGCGGGAGTTGTCTGAAACCCCTGCCCTGGCAGACAGTGTTGACATCCAGTGTGGACACCTAGGCACGGTGCACAGGAAGGGGCAGTGCCGGGTGTGAGCCCGGGCGGAAAGAGCCAACAGAAAACCAGCTTCAACCCTTCACCCTCTCCTCCTCTGAAATGGCGTGGGGATATGTAATGATAATAGCAGCACCTCAGGCCAGGACACTGTGGGTTCAAATGCCCAGCCCTGCACTGGCCTTCAGCGGGCCCTAGGAGGCTGGGTGGAGAGAGCTGACCCACCGTGAGGGGCAGCACAGGGACCAGAGGTGAGCGTCCCCCTCGACGGACAGGCCCCCTCCCTGCTCACACTCTGCAGACCCTCCACCCTACCCCTTATCCACCACCCTCCTGGGGTTCCTTTGGGTGGGTCCCCACTGAGTCTGGGCCATGTTTGGTGACAAAGACTGGACCCCACCAGAGGTTTCTTCATCTGTTTTTGTGTGTGTGTGTGTTTTTATCCTCACCCGAGGACATGTTTGTATTCATCTTCAGACAGAGCGGGAGGGAGAGAGAGAAAGAAACATCGATGTGAGAGAGAAGCATGAAGAACACTGAGCAGAGGTATGAGGGAAGCAGAACAGTTTGTAATTTTTTATTTTATTTTTTTATCCTCACCCGAGGACTTTGCTCTTTTTGCATTTATCTTCAGCTAGAGCGGAAGGGAGAGAGGGAGGAAGAGAGAGACACACATCAAGTGGCTGCCACCCACACGACCCCCAACCAGGACCAGGAACAAACTGCAACCGAGGTACGTGCCCTTAGCGGGAACCGAACCCGGGTCTCTCTGGTCCACGGGCCGACGCTCTAACCGCTGAGCCAAACCGGCCACGGCTCTTTCATACCAGTCAATTTTATTACTAAGTTCAACCAATATAATATTACTTTGTCGAGACTGCTATAGAAATTTCTACACACTCCATTTTCTCAGCATTACATTTTTTTTTATTATTGTGGTAAAATACCTATCACATAAGATTTTATTATTTGAATCATTTTACAGTGTACAGTTCAGAGACATTTAGTACATTCACAATGCGATGCAGCCACCACTATCTGGTTGGAGAACATTGTCTTCAAGCCAAAGGGAAACCCCGAATCCACTAAGCAGTCATCTTGACCTATTTTAACTCTCCCGGACCCCTTTGTTCTTCTTTGATACAATTAGAAACATGGTGACTGAAGAAAAAAGCCAAAACAATGGTGCAAATTGCTGTCAAACCACATTTGCCCAGATAGCCAGAGACCAGAGCAATGCCAACAACAACAGTGATAGTTATTTCAGGCTCCCTTCCAGTCCCTGTGCCTTTAAGTTGCTTTTCAGGAGGAATCTTTCATCCTCAGCACACCCCTGTAAGCCGAGTACTAGGCCATAGTCACCCTTCCGCGCAAAGGAAGCCAAGGTACAGGGAGGCAAAGTCACCCCCCAACAAGTGAGCTGGGCTCCAGAGATGGACCAGCTCCGCCTGCAGGCTGTGCCTTCGTCTTGCTGGTGACCAAGGGCTGGATGATTGCCCCCTCTGGTAGAAATGCTCTAATAGTAGGCAGGAGTGAGAGGGTGCGCCTCCCACGGAGGGCTCCCCGATGTTGGCTGCGTTAGCAGGCTTTCGGCCTTGCCTACTCCCACCCCCACGTCCCCAGGTTTGGACTGATTGTTTTAACCCAGGAGCAATGAGAAAGGGGAACTGGAGTGGGCAGGGTTTGGGGAGTGGGGGGTGCTTTCGCATTAACCCTCCCACCACCCTAAGCACACTTCCTGTCAACATTTCGGCTCCCTGGCTCACATGTGCACCCTTGATTCTGGGTCTGTCTGAGGGCAGGGGTTGGCAAGGAGCAGGGGGAGCGGTGGAGTCTGGAAACCACCCAGCAGAGACCGGGGTGGGGCAGAGACTGGTCTGTGTCCCCAGCACCTGGCAGAGTCAGTGCCGACTGTGTTGAGTGAATGAGTGAATGAGTGAGTGAATGAGTGAGTGAATGAATGAGTGAATGAATGAGTGAGTGAATGAATGAGTGAATGAATGAGTGAGTGAATGAATGAGTGAATGAAAGTGAATGAATGAGTGAATGAATGAATGAGTGAATGACATTTTGTGAGGGCACCAAGGACACATGAGGTGAGGTCAAGCTCTGTCCGGAGGCAGCTGTTTATTTGGGGACAGCCCTGGCCGATTTAGCTCAGCAGTTAGAGCGTCCGCCCACGGACCAATGAGTCAAGGGTTCGATTCCAGTCAGGGGCACGTACCTCAGTTGCGGTTCGTCCCGGCCCTGGTTGGGGTCGTGTGGGAGGCAGCCACTCAATGTATCCTTTTTTTTTTTTTTTTTTGGTACGTCCCCCTAGCGGAAACCAAACCCGGGACTCTCTGGTCCACAGGCCGATGCTCTAACCGCTGAGCCAAACTGGCCAGGGCTCAATGTATCCCTTTCACATCGATGTTTCTCTCTCTCCCCCGCCCACTCTATCTGAACAAAAAAATGTCCTTGGATGAAGATAAAAAAAAAAAAAAATAGGGGGAAAGGCACAGGACTTGAGTCTGTGTTCTTGGGCCCTCCCTGGGAGTCACACCCCCACACCCATGCCTGCACCGTCCGAGTCTAACTACCAAGCCACACCGAGTTCCCTGGGCCCGTGCCCAGCTGTGCCACCCACAAGGCAGCATCTCCCCTTCCTCCCACCTCTCCTGGGGGAGCCAGAGCTCCCAAGTTTGACGGGGACTCAGAAGCGAGGGGAGGCAGAGAAGGGGTGGCCCTTGGAGTGGCTGGGAGGGGCAGGACCGTCCCCTGAGGGGTCGGGGCACCCTCAGTGAACGGAGGTCAGCGCCGGGACACTAACCCCAACAGACCTGAGTACACAGGAGCTCTGAGAACTTCTCCGTCTTCCAAATATTTAGACAGTGAGATGGATGGACAGGCGAGGGCCAAACCGGGCCAGCCAGGCCATTGGTTATTCTGAGTGAACGGCTGTCATGCTCCAGGATAAATGCTCCCTCTCTCCCTCCCTCTCCTCCCCGGGCCTGGTGTGGCCACCCTGGAGGAGGAGACAGCAGCTGACTGCCCCTGAATTCAGGGCGTCCAGGCTCTGAGGCCGGAGCTCTAGGGCTCATCACGCTGCCTGTCCACCTGTGGAGCTCCCCTGATTGTCTGGCTCCTGCTCCCCTAAGACGGGGCAGGGGGTCACGGGACAGCCTAAGACGTCAGCTGAGAGAGCAGCCTGCCCTGGACTCCGCTTTGGGTGGCGTTCCCAGGGGCTGTGCGGGAGGCGGGCCTGCCCCCTGCGCCTCGCCCCAGGCTGACAAAGGCACCCAGTTCCCCTCCTTTCCCCCGAGAGTGGCGGGGACCCGTGGGTCCTTCCCCCCTGAGGCAGGCTGGGAGGGGGTGTCCTGTGAGCGGCCGTGGGCAGGCCCGGGGCAGAGACGGCAGAACCAGAGCTTGAGGCGCTGAAAGACGGCCTTGCGGAATAGGATGAAGACCCAGGGGTCCAGGATGGGGTTGAAGGCATTGAATCGGAAGGCGAGGAGGTCCCCCATCTCACTGCTGTCTGGGGCGATGGCCTGGGTGAAGCAGCGGATCTGAAGGCAGGGTGGGGGTGTCAAAAAGTACCCACTCCACCCTCACCCCCTCCACCCAGCAGCGACAGGAATAGGGAGGGGTGGCCTGGCAGAAGGGGAAGGAAATACGATAAGATGAAAACTGAGAAATGAGTGCATCCGGGGAGCAGAGAGATAGAAAGCCCCAGGAAATGGCCAGCAGAGGCCCAGAGCGAGCGAGATGGGCTGTGTGGGTGGGTCCCGGGGCTGCGCCTGTGTGTCCGCAGCTTCGAGTCCCTGAGTCATCCTCAGCCCCCTGAAGTTTCGGCAAGTCTCAAATTTAGCCCAGGCTTGAATGTTACGGAAAGAGAAACCGAGGCCCCGAGTACAGACGGGATGACCAGGAGCCACAGTAGTACGGGGCGGGGGTTGGGAGGGGGTGCCCTGCTTCTGCACCAGAGAGGCCGGGCGGGCTCGTGGGGGAGAGGGGCCAGGTCGCAGCCCACAGAGGGTGGCACTGGGGGAGGGAGCCTGGCTTCTGGGAGGGCCGAGCTCTCACTCGGGAATCAAGGGAGCCTGGGCTCCAGACCCGACTCTGAGACATCCACTCTGAGACATCGCCCCTCATCTGTAAAAATGGTGACAAGACAGGAACTCTGTCCTGCTTCTTGGTAAATGCTTGTGGAATGGCTGCATGGGTCATTTTGAAGAGTGTCTGAAAAAGGATTTGTGAACCAGAGAGCAAGTGGATCTCAGGATCACTGAGGGGGAGAAAGGGCTGGGCGTGTATTTGATTGTGTGGGGACAGGAGACCTGGAAGGGGCATTCCGGGGGTCAGGAGGAGTCCAGTGGGGCAGAAGCACATGGGGAGAGACTTCTCCAGAAAGTCGGGACTTGTTTGACAGTTGCCAAAGCCTCTGACATCTTAGATTCTCAGTTTCCCCATCCGCAAAATGGGCACCGACCATGGAGGACAGAGCTGGGCGCCGCCGCTCCCCACCCGCCCCCCGGGCGGCCGCAGAGGGGACTCACCGTCAGAGGCAGGGAGCACACAGCCATGACGGCCGTCATGAGGCCCAGCAGGATCAGATGGTCAACCTCGTCCTCTCGAGCCGATGCCCTGAGGCCCGGGACCAGTGAGCTCTGGCGGTACATGCGGCAGAGGCTGAGGGTGACAGAGCCGTTGCAGAGGACGATGGCAGCCACCAGCAGGGCCACGAGGCTGGCGTAGGCCAGGGAGTAGGCGCAGCCGCCCAGCTCGGTGGAGCGCAGGCGGATGAAGCACCAGCTGCCCGGGCAGTACTGCTGGTGCTGGCCCAGGCCCAGCAGGGGCAGCGCGCAGAAGAGGGTGCAGAAGGCGTAGACGGCGGGCAGCGCCAGGCGGGCGCAGCGGGGCCCGTCCAGCTGGGCGTAGAGGTAGGGGTGGCTGAGCGCCAGGCAGCGCTCCACGGCCATGGTGAAGAGGATGAGCGTGGACGCCAGGCCGAAGAAGGTCATGGCAAAGGCGAAGGTGTCACACAGCACCGGGCGGCCGCGGGCCAGGCCCAGCAGCGAGCTGTTTCGGGCGTAGGCCACGAACACCGCGGGGCTCAGGAAGCACGTGCCCAGCAGGTCGGTGACCGCCAGCCCGGTGACCAGCACGGCGAAGGCCGATGGGCGTGACTGCCGCCGCGCCCCCAGGATGCCCAGTGCCAGCCCGTTGCCCACCGCACCTGCTACAAACATCAGGGTGCTGGTGGCGGGCCCCACCGAGTCCCGCACGTAAGTCAGGTTCCGGCAGGAGTCTGCCATCCCGGCCACCGTCTGGCCTGGTCCCGAGGGGCCAGGGCGGGAGGTGGGGGGGGTCAGGGCACCCACTTAGATAGCCCCTGCCAGCTGCCCCATGGTCCTCACCGCAGCGGGCATCGCCCAGTCACCCCACCGTTGGCCTTGTGTGTCCAGCAGTCTGTCTGTGCTTCCGTCCCTCTGTCTTCTTCAGCCTCTCCCTCTCCCTCTCCTGTTTCTTTCCTTCTCTACCTCTCTGTCCTCTCCTCTCCTCTTTCCTAGTTCTGTCTGTCTGTCCCTTGCTGTCTGTCTCTGTCCCCCCCTTGCCCACCCCTCTGCTCTTCCTCCTTCTCGCCCCACCCCCTGCTCTCTATCCCCTCCTCTGCATCTCTGCTTCTGCAGCCCCTCCTCACCGCACCTCTGCCGGCTCTCCGTCCCTCCTGGTCCCCTCACTCTGGGATCACTGTCTGTGAGGTCTGTGTGTCAGCTTCTCCCTCCTCCTCCCCTCCTCCCGCCCTCCTCTGCCTGCTCTCCCCAGCTTTTTCATTTCCTTTCTCTGCCCCGCCTTTCTCCCCCTGCTTTCTCCAGAGGCCCCCTCAGCTCCGCCCGCCTTCCCTGGCATGCTCCCCTCGTCCCCTCTGCCCAGTGCGTCCGCCTCCCACCCGGCGTCCCCTCCGTGTCCTCTCGTGGTCCCCATCGCCAGCCACCTGCCACCTCCCCACACAGGTCTCTGCCCGCCTCCCTTCCCCAGCATCTCCCAGGAGCCCCGGGTGGGGATCACTGAGTCATGACACGGAGTTTGAACTCACCAGTGGGGACCAGGACAGGCCTTGAGGACACCGCTGACCAGTCCACAGGGCTGTCTGGGGGTGGCTCCTGGGATCTATTCTGGGCTCTGGGCTCCGGGCTCCGGGGTTAGTACACTGCCCAGGGATTGAGAAATGACCAGGAAATTCCTCCCCGATGCAGTGTTTTCCAGGCATTACTGAGATTTCTGCTCCCTAGACAGTTCACTCCTTCCAGAGGCTGGGAACGGAGGTGGCTGGGCCAGAGGGGCAAGGGCAGTCCCTGGAGCCGGTCCTCACCCTCACCCCACAGACCCCTGGGAAGTGGAGCGGACCCTCACATCTGACCCCAGCCCTCCCAGGCCAAGCTCCAGCGACCTTGACCTCCAGGATTGATGTTTTAGCCACAGACAGCTGTGCAGGGCTCCGACATCACTGTCACATCGATCTCTCCCACCCTCTACACTCACCCCAGCTGCCATCACCCGGGCCAGGACCGCGGCAGCCTGTCCCAGCTGTCAGCACAGCAGTCACTCGTCCTGTTCCCACTGAGCCCCCAGCTCCCGTGCAGCCGCCCCGCCCCTAAGAGCCGGATGGGACCTGGGAGACCGGCTCAGACACCCCTTGTCTCTCAGGAAAGCAGTTTCCGTGGAGAGATTACACACTCCGGGCCTCCTCCTTTTATCTGCAGTTTCTGGCCCAATTCGACCACTTCCTTGCTTTGTGATGGTCTTGGGCAAGGATGGGAAGCTGGTGTACCTCAGTTTCCTCATCTGTCCAGTGGGGTTACAGCAGCTTCAAGGGCCTGCTGGCCGACCTTGGCCAGCGGCCCATCCCAGAGCCTCTGTAACCAGGAGGGAGCCCACGCGGATGTGTTGTATCCAAGACCAGGAGCCACGCTCCCAACCCCAAGGGCTGCAGACTCCCCCTCTGTTCCCGTGGCCGTAACCAGGGCGCCCTCACAGCTCCTATCACCATGCCCAGCTGGCATGTCCAGCTTCCTGCAGGACTGATGCCCCAACTCGGCCACACCAGGCCTGCAAGGGCACCCACACAGCCCTGCCCTTGACGCGCCCGTGTGCGGGCCCAGACCTCAGCCCTGTGGTGCCTCCCGCTTACGCCCTGCCATCACCAGGCAGACCAGAGGGAACTCAGGAAGTTATATCATATTAATGAAAGATGACGCCTGGCAGGCTGGCGTCCTGTCTCTGCATCTGGGGAGTTGCAGGGTGGGGGTTCTGGTTCCCGGAGCCTCCCTCTCGCCGGCTTCCTGTCCCCACCAGGGACCACCGAGCTCAGGAACTCCGCTCTTCCCATGCCCAGTGGGACCTCAGACAAGCCCCTGCCCCCTCCAGGCCTCAGTTTCCCCACCTGAGCCACAGCAGCTGGAGCTCTGGCAACCCTGGCATCAGTTCTGTGCCTGGGGAGCAGGTGGGGTGGCGATGATTGAAACTCATTCCGAGTAAGAGGACTAAGGGTCCCGGGTCTGAGCCAGTGCTGGACACACCTTCTGGGGACCCAGGGCCTCCCGCCCAGCTGTGGCCCCAGGCAGCCCCACAGCTAGGGCAACCAAGGCTTTCTCTTTCCTCCAGGTGATTTGGGGTGAGAGGTAACCCACAGGGCAGGGTGGGGGTGGGAGGGGTGATGGTTTCCGGGGCAGGGAGGGGCGGGACTTTGGGAAGGAACCGCTGGGGTAGGTGAGTCAGCAGTTCTCCCCACAACCCTCTGCTGGGAGCAGGGGCTTCCCCAGGGATCCAGGACAGTGGGGCAACAGGCAGGAGGAGGAGGGCGGCAGAAACAACTGGAAACGGACACACAGCATGTTGAGGGGTGGAGGTGCCCAGAGGACTTGCTAGGGACTATGGATATGTGAACGGCATGTGGTTGGGCAGTATTTTCTCTAGGCCTATCTGTGCAGCTGTGTGTTGGTGAGGGTCTTTTTTGGAGGCTCGTGTGCATTTCTTTTCTTTTAATCCTCACCCAAGGATATTTTTCCATTGATTTTCAGATTTTTTCAGACAGAGTGGGAGGTGGGGGGGCGGGGAGAAACATTGATGTGAGAGGGACACATCGATTGGTTGCCTCCCGCACAACCCCGACCAGACCCAGGGATTGAACCGCAACCGAGGCACGTGCCCTTAACCAGAACTGACCCCGAGACTCTCTGGTTCGCAGGTCAACGCTCTAACCACTGAGCAAACTGGCCAGGGCTACTCATGCATTTCTTTTTTGTTTTTAATATATTTTTATTGATGTGAAGCATCAATGTGAGAAAGAAACATCTGATTGACTGCCTCCTGCACGCCCCCCACTGGGGATTCCTGACCAGGAATCGAACTGGGACCTCTCAGCCCATGGGACAATGCTCAATCCCATGAGCCACACCGGCCGGGCATGCTCATGCATTTCTTTATGGCTGTGTCGTGTGTGTGTGTGTGTGTGTGTGTGTGTGTGTGTGTGTAGGGGCTGCATGGTGCAGGGGAAAGGAGTGGGTTTAGAAGCTCACCTCCACCAGTCCCTGGGTGGCACTAGAAAATGACTTCCCCTATCTGAGCTTTGATGTCTTCATCAAATGGCTGCCTTGCCCTTGTCAGGCTGTTGTGTGGAGATTAGACACGGAAATCACCCTGCCTCCAGGAAGCCCCCCCATAGCTGCTGGTATTATTCACTCAATGAACCTTAACCTGCTTACTGTGTGCAAGGGCTAGGATGCAGAGGCTCAGGGGTGTGTTCTGATGGGGGGCGTGTACATCCTCTGATGGGGGGCGTGTTCTCAAATGGCGTGCGACAAGTGTTGGGGGCGGAAGGTTGGAGCTGGCAGGCCCTCGGCTGAGTCACTCCACACCCAGCTGGGACTCACATCTCCCTGGGAAGGCAAATGCCAACAAGCAGGCCAGGAAATGGTCCACAATGGGTCACTCCCACGCCTGCTGGCCAGCTCCTCCTGTCTCTGGACCAGCTGCTGATTCTGCTCCCCCTGGGCCCCACCCTCTCCTGACTCCCTGGTTTCCGTCCTCCGTCTGCCTGTGCCATCTCACTGCTGTGGAAGCTGCCCACTGGGGATCGGGCCCACACCCTGGGCATGTGCCCTGACAGGGAATCGAACCAGCGACCTCTTGGTGCATTGGTGGACACTCAACCACTGAGCCACACCGGCTGGGCACAAGCCATCACCCTTTTCTCTCTCTCTCTCTCTTTTTTTTTTTTGTTAAATTAGGCTTTATTTGGGGGAAATAAATTGTTCTTTTAAGAAAAATTTCCTTGGTTTAACTAAAGGTTTTCTTCAAGTTTCTTATCCTTTCTATATCTCTGACCACCCTTTTCTTTACCCCAAATGGGTCCTTGCGTATCTCTCTGCTTCTTGCCCGGCTCCAGGGGCCTTTACCTGGGCTGTGCCCCTCTCCTGGGATTCCCTCCCTTCTGTCCTTCAGGCTCCTCCCACAACTCCTCCAGCCCCTCCTGAGCACATCCATTGGTCAAACTCCAACCTCAAGCCCAAACCGGCCAGGTGACGTCACCTCTCCACGCCTGTCCGCCCAGTCTGTAAAATAGGGATGAACAGAGTCCCTCTGGGAGCTATCGAAGAATTGAGCGCGGTGGGGCATTGAAATAGGACTCCCAGGAGGCAGTGGCCACTGTTGTGGCTCCTGCGCCTCTGGACTATGGCTCCCTGAGCCCCTCAGCTGGCCAGCACTGCTCTGAGCACGTGGGGTACAGGGTGGGAGGAAAGACAGCCTGGGAGGGGCAGCCAGTAGCCTTCAGGGTGTAGAATGATGTGAGAGGGTACTTCTGAGAGCAAGTTCTTGGCCAGGCAGTGACCCCAGAGCTGACCTCACAGCTGGGGTGGCAGGAAATAGCAGCCAGGACCAGAAGCTGGTGCTGCCGTGTCCTACCCAGCTAACAAGATTATCTGGGTTTGCACGCAGGGAAGCTGGTCTCCAGGGAGCTACCCTGTCCCTCTGGTTTCTCCCTCCCAGCCTCAGTCCTGACCGGCCTCTGGGTCCGGACTCACCCGCTTCCCCTCCCCCCTCCCCCTCCTGCTCTAGGTCAGCCCGTCTTGCATGCGCCTCAGCTTCCCTTTCCCAAGACCAGGAATTCGGAAGAGGATGCTCCAAGATCCCAGGGCTGAAAAGGTTAAATCCCAACATTCTAGGTTCAAGAAATCCTTACACTCCTGACATCCTGGACAAGGGGGCAGACCCCAGAATCCTGACCCCGTAGGATTGAAAGACTCCAGAATGCCAGCCCTCCAGAGTCCTGGCATTAGAGATGCCTTTGCGTTTCGGGTTCTGAGATGCAAGGATGCTAGACCTGAGAAACTCCTGCATCCTTCTGGAGCTTCCTCCCCAGCATCCCTCCCCACTCCTCCTATCCCCAGCTCATCCTTGGCTCTCTCTGTCCCCTGTCTCCCCGGGGGCTCCCACAGACATGATGCAACCAGCTGAGAGGTCCGAGGCAGAAGGGAGATGTAATTACAGCCTCTCCTGCCTCAATTCAACAGGAAGCTCAGAGTTGGGGCCCAGGGGACCCTAATCCGATGTGAATAATGGAACACTTCCCAGACACAGGCACTGCCCTCCTCTGGGGACCAGAGGCCCAGCGAGCTGTCCATCTCCATCCAGATCCAGGGATTCCGCCTCACTGTGGGGAGCAGGGGTGTTAAACTCTAGAGAAGTGGAGGTGGGGGTGAGGAGTGGGGAGGAGGTCTTGAACTCAGTGGTCCTTGGGCCAACCAGGTATGATAATTAACCAAATCCGCAGCTCATCTGCACTTCCTCGTTTTCAATAGACATTTCAATAGACATGTCTTTTCATCCCACAGTTAAGAAGCCCCTGACACAGGCTCCGTGACAAATAGCAACTGCACCTCGACCTCAGCTGAGAGACAGTACGGCAGGGTGGGGACTTCAGCAAGCTGTAAAGCCCATGTTTCATCTCATAGTTTATGGTCACCCTGGGGGGTTGTGCAGGTCTGAGGTCACCAGACCTTCGAGTTCAGAGAAAGCGGAAAATATGGACTTTTATGTGAAGTACTCTATTTTTTAATTTGGCAACCAAGTCAAGAATATTTTATTGATTTTTTTTTTTTAAGAGGGAGAGGCAGAGAGAGAGGGAAACATCGATGTGAGAGCAAAACATCCATTGTTTAGCTGCCTTCCGAATACCTCCTACGAGGGATCTACCCTGCAACCCAGGCATGTACCCTGACTGGGAATCAGAGACAAACCAGCAACCTTTCAGTGCACGGGAGGACACCCAACCAACAACCAGCCAGGGCAAGAGCATTTTAAACATTATGTAGACCATGCCCTGGCCGGTTTGGCTCAGCGGTTAGAGCGTCAGCCTGCGGTCCACAGAGACCCGGGTTCGGTTCCCGCTAACGGCACGTACCTTGGCTGCAGTTTGTCCCCGGCCCTGGTTGGGTCGTGTGGGTGGCGGCCACTCGATGTGTCCCTTTCACATCGATGTTTCTCTCTCTTCCTCTCTCTCCTTCCCGCTCTATCTGAGTAAAAAATGGAAAAATGTCCTCGGATGAGGATAAAAAAAAAACATTATGTAGACCAAAGTAGAAAGCCAAAAATATATAACTGCAGGCTATATATGTCCTGTGGGCCATCAATATGTGACGTGGGAAACAGGGCCAAAACCAGAGCTTTCCCCAGAACAAATAAAATAGTTGTTGAAGGAAGGAATGTACACATTAATCTGTCTCCTCTCTCTAGCCACATGGGACTACTCAGAATCTCCAACCCCGAGAAGAGGGGAGAGGCCAGCTAAGAGGTTCAGGGAGCACTGGAGTCCACAGTCTTCACCCCATTACCTCCTTGCTGTGTGACTTGAGTAAGGGACCTCATCTGGCTCCGTTTCCTCATTTGTAAAAAAAGAAAAAAGAAAAGAAAAAGGTGTTATACAAGTAGCCAGCTGCCTCTGGAACTGTTGGGATGATTAATAAATTCAGGATCCTGAAGTGCTCAGAGGAGGCTCATTTCCTCCGATACACCCCCGCATTCACACACCCCGCATTTCCTCCCCCAACCCCCGCTCAGAAGATGGGAGGAGCACAGAGTCCCCCACGGTGGCTCCAAGCTCTGCGCGTGCCTCAGGTACCACCAGTCACCACCTTTATTGGAATCAAACTTTGGCAAGGGACGTAATCTGTCGAGAAGGCTCAGAGCAGGACGCAAAAGAGGCGCTTGTCGCGGAAGGGGTTCTCTGCGGCGGGGACTGGCGTCACCAGCGGGTCGTCTTTGGCGTGCGTCTCACAGAAGGCCAGGAGCTCCGCCGCCGCCTGCGACACCTGCGGGCACGGTGATGTCCGTGCCTCTGCCCGCCCCAAGGCCCCGCCTCTTGCCCGGGCCCCACCCCTTGTCCAGCCCCGCCCCTGAACCCCGCCCCAGGCCCGGCCCCTCCCCTGGGCCCCGCCCCAGACCCGGCCCCTCCCCTGGACCCCGCCCCAGGCCCGGCCCCGCCCCTGGGCCCTCCCCCGGCCCGGCCCCGCCCCTGGACCCCGTCCAGACCCGGCCCCGCCCCTGGACTCCACCTTAGGCCCGGCCCCGCCCCTGGGCCCCGCCCCTGGACCCCGCCCCAGACCCGGCCCCGCCCCTGGACCCCGCCTTAGGCCCGGCCCCGCCCCTGGACTCCACCTTAGGCCCGGCCCCGCCCCTGGACCCCGCCCCTGGACCCCGCCCCAGGCCCGGGCCCGCCCCTGGACCCCGCCCCTCATGCCCCGCCCCCCTGCCCGCGCCCTTTCCCTCGTCCGAGCCCCTCCTCAAGTCCAGCTCGGCTCAGAAGGGAGTCGCCCCCATACACAGGGCTCCGTGCGCCCCCTCCAACAGCACCCGGTGCAGACCCAGCCCCGGAGCCCCCGCCTTCTGCTGCCCCAACCACGCACCTTCATGCGGTCGATGTTCACTTCCAGCTTCAGCTGTTCCACCGTCTTGCGGGCTTCCGCGATCTTGGCCATGTTGTTGGACATGGCTGCGGCGGAGAAGGGGTTAAAAGCCGGGCGGGAGATGGGGACAGGGGGGTAAGCTAAGGCAAGTCTGGGTCCCCAGGTAGGGGTGGCGGGGGGGGGGCAGCAATTGAGGCGTGGGTGGAAGGAGGTACAGGAAAGCAGGGAGAAGTGGAGGAATGAAGAGCCGCACAGATGGAGGACCCAGGAGCAGGCGGAAGGAGGGACAAATGAGCAGGGAGAAGAGGGGCAAGAGGAGGGTTGGAGGGGTGCACAGATGGGGTACCTAGAGGCAGGTGGAGGGAGGGACAGAGGGACAGGGAAGGCAGGAGGAAAGCACAGATGCAAGGCTGAGAGGCAGGTGGACAGAAGGACAGAAGGACAGGGCCACAGGTGCTGGAGCAGGATCCAGGTGTCCTCAGCTCCCAGGGATAGAGCATGAGCCAGGAGGGGGGCCCTCCCCAGGCCAATTAACAGTGGCTCCAGGGAGAGCCAGGAATTAAGATCTCGGCGGGAGGGGCGCAGAGGAGGCCTCATTAGGGCCTTGGCAGCAGCTGCCCCCTCAGCTCCCCTCGGGGAGCTCCCCCATCCCAGCCCTCCACCTCAAAGGCTCCTCTGCTCATTAGCGGCTGGAGAGAGGGCTGATGGGGGGCGACAATCCAGACTTGACTGGGAGAGGGGCAGAGAAGATGAAGAGAGGGACAAATGGGGGGGCAGAGGGAGAGACAAAGTGACAGAGGGAGAGACTGAGGCATAGGAGAAATAAAGAGACTGGGGGGGAGATATGGAGAAGACGGTGAAAGATGAAGTGATGGAGGGAGTTGGGGGGCAACAGAGGGGTAAGGAAAGGGACAGAGTGATACACACGGGGAGAGAGGTACCGAGAGGACAAAGGGACAGAGGACATTTGAGAAGGGTGGTGGAGGAGTCCAGAAGGGATGGAGTGATGGGGGTTGGAGAGGATGGAGGGTTAGAGGAAGGGGCACAAATAGAGGAGGGGAGAGAGGCACAGTGGGGATAAGGGGACAGGGGGCAGGGGGACAGAGAGAGGGAGATGGAGGAGTTAGGGGAAAGACAGGCTGATGGAGACACAGAAATATAAAGTCATTCATTCATCCCCAAGAGGACAGAGTGGCTGAGATGGGGCAGAGGGACGACCTGGTGGGGCCAGGGCCAGAGCCTCCTACCTGTTGTTGCTCCGGGCTGGGATGGCGGGCTGGTGATGGAGGCTGAGAGACAGCTTCTGGGTCCCCCTGCCCAGCCCAGCCCCACCCCCTCCCCTGGGGCGCAGCCCCTAAGGACCCGCCTCCTCCTGCTGCCGCTACCAGGAGCCCCATTGCTCTTTCTCACAGCGCTGGGTCTGTCTTTCTGGGTCCTATCTCTGTCTGTCCCCCTTTGTCTCTGTTTCTGTGTCTCTTTCCCTCCCTCTATCTCTCTCCCAGTCTCCCCTCTCAATCTCTGTCTCTGTCTCACTCACTCACTCACGGGAAAAGACATTCTCTCAAGGTGTGCCCCACAGTCACACAAACCTGTCCTGTGTGTCCCACATAGCCTCTCTTTCCATCACACATGCTCTGCCACCCTGTCAGACCCACCACCTCAGTGTCACCTATCCCCTCTCAGTACACAGCCTCACACGGTCCCTCGCACAGAGACACATGATACCTCACTATGTCACAGGGTACTGCCACAGATTCTCACAAATGACCTGTGCTCAACACAACATCTCCCACAGTGCCACAGTCACATGGTCTCTCAAAATGCCACACACAGTTCCTCACAGTCTTTCAGAGTGTGACACACCATCACCAATGGCATCTTGCACTACAGTCAGATATACTTACTGAGTGTCAGATGTACAGTTTCACACAGTGTCACACAATATTTCAAGGTGTCACACACACATACTCACATGCCATCAAAACTTCTCTCTGCCTTACACCCTATCCCAGTCTCACACTTTCTCAGTGTCTCCCAGTGACATGTAATTACTAATGCAACCTCCTTGTCAAACACTAGCATATAATATTCTATAGTATTACACAGTCACAGTCACATCCAGTGACTCCCACACACAGTCGCACTCATTCTTGCACAGTCTCTAAATTTCACACACAACCTTACACATTCCCTGACACAGAGTCACACAGAGTCTGCCCCCTCACTGTCATGTACAGAAGCTCCTCCTGAGCCTCAGTCTGTGTCACACACAGCGTCACCCTCACACAGCAATCTCCCAGTGTTGCACACTTACACACACAAGGTCTCTCTTACTCTAATCTCTGAGTGCCCCGTATAGTTGCACACTCTCATGCACTGTCACAACACTGCCAGTCTTTCCGTCTCCCACATAATCTGTGTCACACACAGTCACGCTCCATTCTCACAGTTCATTATTGTGGCTGACACATACTGTCTCACACCCAGTCCCCCCGGACCTCTTCCACTACCTTCTCACGCAGTCTCTGGGTGGACCACACTCATTCTGTCTCACACATCGTCTTCTCATGTGACACACACAGCACGCATGTCCTCACCATGTTGCACACTGTCACAAACAATCGCACATATAATCTCTCGATGCCACAAACAGGCCCCCAGCTCTGGCAGGTTTGGCTCAGCGGTTAGAGCGTCGGCCTGGCCTGCGGTCCTGAGAGACCCAGGTTTGGTTCCCCCTAAGGGCATGTACCTCAGTTGCAGTTTGTCCCCGGCCCTGGTTGGGTCGTGTGGGTGGCAGCAACTCGATGTGTCCCTTTCACGTCGATGTTTCTCTCTCTCCCTCCCACTCTAGCTGAACAAAATATCGAAAAATGTCCTCGGGTGAGGATAAAACAAACAGTCCCCCAAATAGTGTCTTGGCACACCCAACCTCATGGTGTCACACGGTCACATACATGTCAGCTCTCATCTCACATGCACAGTCACAAACAACCTCTAGGTGTAACACATGATTTCACAATCATAATCTGGTTGTCACACATCTCACAAGGTCACGGAGCCACACACAATCTGGCTTCACGCACAGTCTCACAGTAGTACACACACAGTCTCTTAGTGTCACACACCATTTCCCCGTGTCACCCAGGAACACCCAGTGTCTCTCCTGCACTCAGCGCATCCCTGGGGGTGCACACACTCAGCCCTCTGTCCTCTCCTAATAGTCCCCTGCAGGCCACATGGGGGCGCCCACGGCCCATCGAGCCCGCGCCAATGCCGTAGGAGGAGGTGGAAACCGGCCCCTGCGGCCGGCTGGGGTGCAGACATTGGGGAACAAGAGATACAGGAAGGTGGAGGGGTCTAGAGGGAGAGAAATGAAGATGGACTGGGACATCAAGAGAGGGGGTGAGAGATGCAAGGAGAGACAGAGAGAGACAGGGACAGGGACATAAATTTGGAGAGAGAGAGACCCAGGGACTCAGAGAGACAGGCAGAGGATTGCAGAGAGAGACAGACACACAGAGACATGAGGGTACAGGAGAGACAACAGACAGAACTGTGGACTCGGAGGCAGGGACTAAGAAATACAGACACCCAGGCGGAGACAGAGGCGGGCAGAGAGACAGACCCTCGGACCGGGCGGTACACCAGAAAAGGTGGCGTTGGTGGGTCCTGCAGAGGTGCGCCGCAGGGGCGTGGCCTCGGCGTGCTGAGGGGTGTGGTCAGGGGCGGGGCTTGAAGGGCGGGGAGTTGGGGCGTGGCCTGGATGGGGCGTGCCCCGACCACCCTAGAAGGCGGCGGGAGGGGTGGAGGCCGGAGCCCAGGGAAGAGGTGGAGGTGGGGGAAGGAGCGTCTCTACCGCAGCCAGCCCATCCCAGTTCGGTTTTTACAACCCGGTCTGGGAAGGGACCAGCGGGGAGGGGACACCGGCCCAGATCACGGTGTAGCCATTTGATAGGGGGGTGTCGGACCCTGGCTCCCCTCCTCCCCTCCTCTGCGGGAGCAACGGAGCCAGGTGGGGGAGGGGAACCAGGCTCACATCTGGAAAGCATCAGGCGCGCCGGACGTGCCAGGGCCCCGGGCCCGCTGCGGAAGGGGGGAGGGGAGCTAGAGCGCCCTAGTCCACCGCCTTAGTGGGGTCTGCCGGCGCCGGGGAGGGGCCTGGGCGTGCGGCCAGCCTGCGCGCCTCCCGCAGCTGGTTTCCATCAGCAGTTCTGGCCCCGGCAACCCCGAGAAGGAAACCCAGCTTAGAGCGCCGGTAGACAGGGTGACACCCCAACCTCCCCTCCCCACCCCCAGACCGCGGCCAGAGGCTGGGGCTGGGGAGACGGACACTGCCTGAACCGAGCGGAACTCCATTTCTCTCCTGAGCTGTGGACCTCAGCCCCCCTCTCACCCTAGCACGACCTTAGTTTTGAGGTGTGCAGTCCTGCTCTGTGCTGCTCAGGAATCGCCCTGTGTAGTCTCAGGACAACCTAGTAGTCAGTGTATTATTGTCCCATTTTTTGGACGGGGAAACCAAGACCCTGGATTCAGATTCGGTTCTGGCTTTATTATTCAAGAAACGTGTAATGAACGCCCACAGTAATTCTAGGATCAAATACCCAATGGCCTACTGTATATCCCCACCTGGATGTCTGGTGGGAATCTCAAACTCAGCGCGTCCAAAACAGCTCCGGATTCCACTCGCCAAACCCACTCCCACCGCAGTCTTACCCAGCTCTGTGGGTCATTCTTGACGCCACGCCCTCTCTCGCACCCCACAAATGATCTTGCAACAAATCCCATTAACTCCATCTTCAAAGTGCCTCCACAATCCAGTCGCTCCTCACTTCCTCTGCTCCCCCCACTCTGGTGCCGCCACCCACCCGACTAGCACAGTGGCTCCTCACAGGGATCCCAGCTTCTTCCTGTCTCCCTCAGCCTGGTCCCATCAGAGCAGCCAGAGGGACGCTGTTTGAACCCAAGTCCTCAGAGAATAGCAAGTGTTAGTGAGGATGTGGAGAAATTGGAACCCTCAGGCACTGCTGGTGGGAATGTAAAATGGTGCAGCCACTTTGGAAAGCAGTCGGGCTGCTCCTCAAAAGGT